GTGAAGGCCGTGGAAATGACGAAAGCAGCGGGAGGCGACATCCCGCCCCATGTTATGCAGATTCGGCAGCGACTCCTAGGTCGGCGCTACACACGCGGCTGCAGACCCGTGAGTACCGGCAGCATCACTGTGGCACCACGTCTGTTGTCCGTCCTACGGCAGAATCAAATATTGCGCCCCTGGGTGCTTACCGCGGAATCCGGCGAACCGGCGGATGACCCACTGACATCGTTAACATACGGCCTTCTCTCGAAAAGCCATTCCAAATCGGTTCTAGCTTTAATAATTGCTTCCACGGTCTTACACGGCGGCTTCCTCGCCCAAACATTACGATGATTCTGTCAGAGGGAGTCTATTACCCAGTTTACATCAGTCGATGAACCACAACCGTAAATTTACGATTCGAATCGTTCGCGAAAGTGACGATAGTTCGACACGTTTACATTAGCAAATCGCACAATTTATCGTGAATTTGCGATTAGCGCTTAGTGGAAATTAACATGGAAATTTGCGATCTTTTAGAGTTATTTTTGCATTTCTGGCGCAAGTGCGACGAAAACGGCGTATTGAACCAGCATCACCCACCATCACTGAACGCTCTTCTTGCGGCGTCCAATCGCGCATGTTTTGTAACTTCGAAAAAGCACCTTTACACAAGCGGGTTAAGACAAAAAACTAATTCACAGACAATAAGACATGAAACGCCGTCGATCGCAGCCCAAAAGCGCCCCGCTAGCCCGTCGCGCCAAGCCGAAACTCGTGACACAATTTGGCCGAGAGGCGCGATGGGAACATGCATAATTTAAGAAACGCACTTTTGTCTAAGAATGGTTTAGATTGAAAATGTAGCTTTATTGATGAATTATCTGACTTCAGCAAGCTTTTATCTCATTTTTGTATTGTTTTGTGATCTATTTCTGTCAGACTTAGGCAATTTTTGTCAAAACATGCATACAAACACCAGCGGTACACATCGGCATTTGTGGGTGATCGACGCGAATCGTAAATATCCCCTCCTACCATCGTAAGCTTACGATATGATGTGCGGCTGGCGCGGCGTCGCTGAAACCCGTTGACATGAGCAGAAACTGCGCCTTTCTTTCTAATCGTCGCAAAATCGTCCGTTTGGTTGACTCATGTAAACAGGGTATATGTTTCCTGTCTTAACCAATGTGGTGGCCAGCTTCATGTTCCAGCAAGCGGACCATTCCATTCATTTCTCTGATCTAGTCTGTATTTATCTGGTTTGTATAAATACGGCAGCACTACTCAGGTAAGATAATTGCCACATGTTGTACCATACCTCCTGCGATTCTGATGCGGCGTCCTGTTCCGCAGTGCTGACTATCTACCAAAAACGCTGCTGGAAATAAATGATTGAATGACAGCATCACAAAGAAAAGCTGGTTTCGCTTTAAGGTACGACGTAGGTGTCCCCCCAATCATATATCAGCTGGGGACAACACTCTACCTCTCCTTGTTCCCGCGCCGGCGCTTTAATATCTTGTCTGTTTGTTACAGCCTTATGTTAGTACATCTTGTTTTTGTTGCATCCATGCTTCAATGCTTTGTGTTTATGTTTGTTTTATCTTTATGTGGATGTTTTATATCAGTGTTCGTTGAATACACCTGTTAACGTTTTATGCTCATGTTTACTACATCCACACGTTATAGGCAAACGTAACAGGATACTTCCAAAACGATAAAGCCAACGTTACAGGAGCAGTTCATATCATGCACACGTTACATGAAAGATGTTCTGATCAGCGGCAGATTTTTACAAGCAGTGACAACAGCGTAGATTATTAACCTAGATAGCACCACCGTACCGCTCTGAGATGGCCTCGAAGAACGCGATAATTCTTATCTCCGCGTCAGGCAAGAGTGTTGGTCTGCGTCATCTGCTCTGTCAACAGTGTCAGCTGTTGTCAGCACCATCCTGCTGTCGCTTGCTGATCGGCACACCGTCCATGTAACGCTTGTGTGTGATATGATCTGTTCGGCGTATTGTGTGACGTTGGCCTACAACATGCCGATGTGGCAAAACACGCTGGGTGGAAGCATCTTGATATGCTTGAGATAAATTGATTGACGAATTTGGAGCGCAGGGAGCAGGCCGCGTGGAAGCAACGTAGATGTGCATCAACGGCGCTATAGATGTTAATGAAGTCCACGTGTTGTGTTTCGCTGTCCAATGCTAAATTTTGTATCATTTTTACAGCCTACTATTAAGTTAAAATGCGCTTCGACACTTAAAATATTCGGACACACGGCAGGGTTTTTTCAAAATCGCGCTTAGAGCGATTTCTGCACAGACTGTCAGTGATTTAAACTGCTGTGTTTCATCTCCTTCGTTTAGCAACTTTATTTGTGATCGCATGGTGCCACCTTGGCTACCATTTTTTTCCAAATTACGCGTGGTGTGTCATCAACTTAAAGAACCACCACTTTGTTCTATGCTGCGGGAATTCAAAGTTCAACGGGACAATAAACCAATACACCGCGACTCTACGGACGGCACTCAATGTTCCGGACTTCGCTCGTGTTCAGGAGTCTTGAGTCTCACTGAGGATCTGCACAGCTCGAAATATTGAGTACCGCTAATATATTCGTTGTTGAGTACTGCGTCACTGCCACGTCAATATATACCCATATATGTATACATATATATATGTATATATATATATATATATATATATATATATATATAAGTGGCCCCTTTTTGTGTGCTATGAAACTGGGTGCCATTCTCAATTCGTTTTTCAGCTTCAAACAGATGAAAAATCCGTGAATTTCTAGCCGAGACACGTTTGTTTCATGGAGGTCGGCTGCTAAAAATGGGCAGTGACCTCACAAGAGCTACCCAAAAGTAAGTGTGTGCCATGATCCAAGCGTTCATTTCTGAAAATTTTGGGATTGAGAAATGAAGATCTTCTTGAGACAAGCTGAATGATGTGTAACTCGTCAAAATCGGTCAAGCTGTTCTCAAGATCTCTGGGGCAGGATATACTCCTCCCCACAGGTGTCTCGGGTCGCAAGAAAATACCGTTAAACCCCGCTGGTGAGTGTTGGACTTAACATTGACCTGCACTGTGCATTTAGCTGTGCGTTTCATCTACTACTGTTGTTAGGACCTGACCGGTTGATCCGTGGTTTGCGCAAATGTGTAAAGCATGTGCTAGGATTCTCGTGCTAAAATGGTGAACGACCTCTTGGGGATATCAAGAAAATACAACTATCGGTACATTCTTGTTATGAACAGGTACAAAATGCAGAATAAAAGAGCCTAGGGCAAACATTTTCGAAAGGATAACAGTCTTAGCTTCGCAAAACTAATGCTGCCTACGTGGAAGATTTGCTTATGGACTTCTTTAAAACCGCATCATGTTTGCCGACGTACGCAAAAATGGCCCCGACCACCAAATCTTTGGATGGAAAAAGGGTTGTTATTTTTTTAATGGCATGACATTCGCTGCATCGAAGTGACCAGAAAAACAGCCAGCTCGTTAAAATCGTTTTGACTTCTTTCTTCACTGCCCCATACTCAACGCCAAAAAGTGTGGCGGCTCTCGACAACCAACTCGCGTAGCAATGTTTCCCCTCCCTCGGACATCTGGCTGGCGGCACTCCAGCCCTCCGACTGGGCCACGCGGTGTCCAGCTGACCTGGCCATTACAGCTGATGAAACCGTTAAACTAGAAGTGGCTTCTGTTTACTGTAACTGTGAATTGTACAAAATGTTTGCGCTGTGCCGCATTGTATGCGTGACTGGTTTTGAAATGGTCCCATTGTGGTAACGCCACGTCCCCTCTGGAACACTGGTGGAGTTTTAGAGCGCGCCGACTGCAAGTGTTCATGCGGCTTGAGTGCTAGAGCCTCATTTATGTAACACGGTCTGTTAAATGTCATATCTGCTTTGGCTGCCGGCAACTGCCGCATATGCTTAAAGGCAACAAAGATCGGCGAATCCAGGCTTCGCATCCGAAAGCAAACGTTACGTTGCACACATCCATCCCCACCGTCGCGCACACAAATGCTCTTTTTCCAGCAAGCGGTGTGAAGGCCCGTTCACACTTTGGGAGCAGCCTGTAAAGTGCGCAAGAGACTCTGCGGCCGCCAGCTGCTGCGTATTAGAGGTGTCACTTAGCAAAAACGTTCGTAAAAAAGGAGCTCGCAAAAAGGGCTCGAATGGATGCAAAAAGATCTCAAACATGGCATCTCTAGTCGCAAACAGCTGACGAATACACAATTTGCTGCGTGTTCTGCGGCCGTCACGTGTTTGGGACTAAGCCTAAGGTACCCCTTTTGAGCTGCTGTTACCCGCCCTGCGCGGGCACGCAGACTCAAATGTGGCGTCCCAAGTTCACAACAGCTGGCCACTGCAAAATCTGCAGTGCTTTCCGCAGGCAGTGCGCAAGTTGTGAAGTAATTCAATATCCGTGTGTTTAAGGAACTGACCTTTGAGGGTTGTGTCGTTGTGGTGGTTGATCATCTACATCTGGCCCCCTTTCAACACGTGCGTGTCGTGCAGCTTCTTGTGCATATAGCGGACTGTACTGTTGCCATGTCGGTCAAATAGGGGAGGCAAGCAGCATTTCGTCCATATTGAAATAATACAGGAAAAGCACGGCTCATCACGTGGCATACATGAACGTATTTCATCATTACAGAACACATCTCTTGAGAATTTTGCTACACGTGGCGGATACCCGCATCAAGTTGTGAACACCGGCTGCAAAAGCATAAATTTCTAGACAGCGCGACAGCCAGACCAAGCCGAAGCCTGTCAAGTTAAAAACGTCGTCACTCAAATAAGATTCGCTCGGCCCACGGTCTCGCTCTTAGCGGATCAACGGGGAAAATCATCTGCACAAGCGCCGACGTACAGATTTGGCATACCGTGCTACTTCGCATTAACACCCCCGCACAGCTGAGGACCAACTGCCCCGCGAATACGCATCCAGACGCCACGCCCACCGCACTTCCACTGAGGCCTGACAGTCTGGCAGTCGCCGGCCGTCTACCCACGCCTCACCACTTTCAGCCAGGTACCGCCCTTCTCCTTGAGCAGGCCGGGTGCGGCATCTATCTCCGGCACGGCGCCGCCCGACCTGGCTCCGGGGACGAAAGAGTAGCGCCGTAGGATCGCCACCAGCGCCAGCTTGGCCTGCAGCGGCGCGAACCGCATGCCGATGCAGTTGCGCGGCCCTTGGCCGAACGGCAGCCACGCGCACGCGTGCCGGTTTGCCTTGACCTCGGGCAAGAAGCGGTCGGGGTCGAACGCGTCCGGGTTCGGGTACAGGCCGGGGTCGCGTTGGACGCCGTAGGGGCTCACGTAGACCATGCAGTTCTGGGGCAGGATGATGTCCGTGCCAGGAAGGTGGTAAGACTTGGTGCAGCAGCGTGAGAGCTGCGGGTTCGGGTAGAGTCGCAGGGACTCGGACAGCACGTTGTCCAGGTACGGCATGCTGTTCACCATGTCGAAGGTGATGCGGTCCTCCTTAGACGTCAGCTTGCCATCGATCTCGGCCTGCAGGCGCTCCTGTTGGTGCGGATGAAAGGCCAACAGGCGTGCAGTCCAGGCGAGCGCATTGGACGTGGTGTCATAGCCGGCGAAGTAGAAGAGCAGACACTGGGCGATGATCTCGTCATCAGTCAGGCAGCGCCGTTGACCATCCTCCCGCCGCGTGTTGAGCAGCAACTGCAGGTAGTCGCTGCGCCGCTGCTCCGGATGCTCCAGCCGCTGGCGCATGGACTGCTTGGCCATGCTGATGAAATATTCCGTCCCCTCGTTGTTTGCGAAAATCCTGCCAAGGTTTAGATGTCTGCTGATAGATTCCGGTAATGCGAACGCTACAACGAGCAGCACCAATCGAGCCGCCGAGATGCGTTGGGTCAGCTTGGCCGCCTTCGCTGCGATGACAGAGTCGGGGTTTCCAATGGAGTCGGCGTTTAGTCCAAAAGCTACAGAGGCGATGTTGTCTATTGTATACCGCGCCATGGTCACCTTTATGTTGATTTCGCCTGTATCCTGCGATTCTTTGTACATTTGGTCCGCCAGCAATTCGGCCTGCTCCTCGCAAGGCTGGCACATCTGCCGTATCTTGCCAGTTGAAAAGGCGGGCGTGGAGATACTCCTCACATCTTTCCAGTCCTGACCAGAAAGATTGACCATCATCTTGGAAAATATTCCACACTTCGATAGGAAGGAGCCCGGCCGCCCGGTGGTGAAGTGATCAAAGTCCTTCACCAAAATAGCTTTGAGCAGATTCAAATCAGATACCGATATAGCGGGGCCAAACATGTCGAGCATCGGAGGTATCCCCCTGCCCGCTTTGTCTTCTCGTGCAGCTCCTTCACGCCTTCCGCGAACGGCACTCTGAAGAACTCAAAGCCTGCGCGGCCAAACGGAAATCGGTACGGAAGGTGGGCGACGCCGCGGTCTTTCCAATAGTTTTTGTGTCTAGACAGACAGAGGTAGGCGGCAGTCGACAGCAGCGCCGACAGGCACAGCGTCGTCGGGCTGAAGATAATCGAAGCCAGCCAGCGCAGCGCACTCAGCAAGAGCCCAAACATGACGTCCTACGTCGACACGGCACCCTGCCTTCGTAGCAAGGAACTCGTGCGCGGGCCGGCCGCCAGCGCTCCACCCCAAGCACTGACCTTGCCAATGCCCTTCGCACGCACGCCGTGCTGTGACTCGCAGTTCGCGACGCTTTCTTCCCCATGATGGGCGCACAGAGGACAGCACCGGTCCGCCGCGATAACACTGAAAACGATTTCGCTCGCTATATCTGTGGTATCGTCTCCGAGTCTTACTTATCAGTAACTGGTCTTAAACGCCATATACTCTGGTCGTGCTCTTCGTCTCTATTTCAGACCCCGCGTCATGCGGCAATATACAAGCGTTGTGCGTCATCGAACGTCAACGATATGAAAGGGAAGCCGTCATTAAAATACAGGGCGGCTACCGCACATGATAGTAGATCACATCCCCGTTTTCAACATATGTACACCACACACTATAGGCCCACGCGGTCGGGTTTCTTCAGAACTCGACCACAACGGGAAGTTGGGATGTTTGGCGGTTCGTGGTCTGGTGCCGCTACTGCCCTGGGGTTCGTCTGAGCGCAGGCAGCTCGCGGAGGTGGGCTGCTTTGCGCTGGTATTGTCCTGGCTGAGGTGGTGTTGTCCAAGCGAGATGGAGACGGGCTGAGGCTGCGCAGGTGTCGCCGGTTCCTCCGATATACGGCGCTGTTGGCCACTCTGATAGTGTACGACCTTGGTTCAGGCCGCTGGTTCACGACGGTCGCTGGTTCCCATCGGCCGCTCTGAGGGTGCTGTGCGTGGATGGGTTGTCCAGGACTGAGTGTTGACACCTCAGTCGCATGCCGGTCGTGGTACGCCTTTTGGGTTGTTTGGCGTTCCACCAGGCGTGGCAGGACGTCGGCCTGCTCTCTTCTCGGTCGGGTCTTCATGGGCAGATTTCCTCGGACTTTCCGACCTTGGAGGATTTCGGCTGGGCTTGGCAGGTGACTGTCGATGGGCGTCGTCCGCAGGGTGAGCAGCGCCATGAGCACGTCACTGCCGCTCTCTAGAGCCTTCTTCATGGTCTGCTTCAGCGTTTGGATGGTTCGCTCTATGAAGCCGTTGCTCTCTGGGTAGTGGGATGAGCTCGTGATGTGCTCGATGCTTCACTCCCTCGTGAAGCAGGCGAACGACTCACAGTCGTACTGTGGTCCGTTGTCATTCCTGATGGTGTCTGGGATGCTGTATTCCGCGAAAATTTCCTTCAGAGCGTTGATGACTGCTTTGCTGGTGCAGTGCTCCGGCAACCTCCCTGCGATCGGGGATTCCGAGAAGTAGTCTGCAACGGCCATGTATGTTTGGGAGTTCAGATGGAAGATGTCTGTGCCGATGATCTGTTGTAGGCGCGTTGGCAGCTCCATTTGCATCATCGGCTCCTTTTGCTGATTTTTCATGTGCTTTTGGAAGGCTTCGCGTTTTGCCGTCTCCCTCACGATGTCTCTGTTATTCTCTTGCTCCCAGCTTGCGCTTGTTATTCTCTTGCTCCTTGGTGCCCTTCATGCATTTTTTTTTTGCAGGATTTCTTCTCTCATCTCTTGGGGGATGACGACTCTTTCCCCCTTCAGGACGAGTCCATCTTCCACCGCCAGTTCGTCTCGGCACGACCAGTACGGTCGGAGGGACGGAGGCAGGCCTTTTCGAGATACAGGCCAGCCTGCGACGATGACGTCACGGAGTCCCGTTAGCGTTTTGTCGCGCGACGTTTCTTCCCTCAGTTTTGGAGCTTTCCGGCACCGAAGTGCACGGGATGGATCTGCAGGTCGAGCTCAATGTGGCTGTTTTCTGCCGGCGGGAGGCGCGACAGTCCATTTGCGAGCAGCATCTGCTTGCCAGGTTTGTAGGTGATCTGCAAGTTGTAGTTTTGCAGGCACATCAGCATCCTCTGAAGTCTTGGTGGCGCTGCTCGGAGGTTCTTCGGTTGGATCATCTCCAGTGGTTTTTGGTCGCTCTCGACGATGAGGTCGCGACCGAAGAGGTACGTGTGGAAGCGTTCCCACCCAAACACGACCGCCAGGAGCTCTCTTTCGATGTTCGCTTAGCGCTGCTCGGCTTCTGACAGCGACTTTGAGGCGAACGCGATGGGTTTCCCGTCTTGCACGAGGGCGGCTCCCAGGCCTTTCTACGAGGCGTCGACTTCCACTCGCGTCGGCTTCCTTGGATCGAAGTATGCCAGGGTTGTCTCCTTGCAGGTCCGGTTTTTTACCTTTTGGAGGGCTACTTCGTGGGCTGATGTCCAGCAGGACTCGGCTTCTTTCTTCAGAAGTCCTCGGGGTGGTTCTGTTGCATCTGACAGCTTTGGCATGAACGGCGACATGTGTGTGATGACGCCCCGGAACTCTTGAAGTTCCTTCTGGTTGGAGGGCGTTGCCATCCCTTTGATATCCATGACCTTGTCAAGATCGGGGTGCGCTCCGTCTCGGTCATATGTGATGCCGTAGAACTTGATGGACTGCTGCTTGATGGCGCACTTCCTGCTGTTGAACGTCAGTCCATGTTTCTTGGCGGCGGTGAATAGGTGGTGGAGGTTTGCATCGTGGCTGGCTCCTTTCTTGCCGAAGACGGCAACGTCGTCTGCGATGCCCATTGTTCCAGGGCATTCCTCCAGGATCTGGTCCATCTTGCGCTGGAGCACGTCCTGGGACGTGACCAGGCCGAACAGCACCGGCAGGTACCTGTACCTTCCGAACGGGGTGTTGAAGGTGGTGAGGAACGAGCTCTGCTCATACAACGTCACCGACCAGTAACCGTTCTTGGCGTCCAGTTTACTGAAGACGGTGGCGCCTGTCAGCTTGTGCGTCAGCTCCTCCAGCGTTGATGTCTTGTGGTGATACCTTTTGATGGCCTTGTTGAGGTTTTCCTTCGAGGCCTCTGTTGAGGCTCTTCTTTCTAACACTGTTTTCCTTTCATCCTCTCCGCCACAAAACCAGTAAAACCAATAAACACTCTCCTGAGGGCATCATTAACTGCCATTCAGAACAGAACAAAGCATTTGGTCTATATTTCCCACTTTTGATACGGGCAATGTTTGCATCATGTGATGCTTTGAACGCCTACAATCTGAATTTATATTTCAGGTGACCCAAAAGAAGAGCCAGGGCCCATCCTTCATCATATCCGTTGTGAGGTCACATGAACATGTAAGCACCATATTATTAAAATGCTCTATTACACCACACGCTCATAGGTCATGAGAACACAGTCGCATCACAAGGTAATGATAAGAGTGTTAATTATTTGGAGATAACTGCAACCAGTCCAAATGAAATTTAACTTAAGATGTCCCTTTGATCAGACGCCTCAGCCTAGTTCTAACCTACCTCGATTCGCTCACAACCCACCGATCTCCAGCCACGCTCAAACCAAGGCGATATACAAAAATACACAAATCGGGATCATAACGCGAACGCCAATTAGCCACCCATAGTTTCATCCTCGCCGACAGCGGGATGTCGATTGCCACCGTGGGGATGTCGATTGCCACCCTAGCCCCGGCACTCGCCTACGCCCGTCAGCAAGAACGGATAAAGTTCATAGGCAAGATGGAAAAGATACCTTGGAGCTTGGTCGTGAACTCCAGAACATTTGAGTCAAAATGGCCATGTTTGTATTTTTACATTTTCCTTTATCGTTTCACCATGCATTTTTGATGGTCTCCGGAGTCATTTTTTCAGATGAACAGGGGCACGTTTTAAAGGTGCTGATTGCGGCTTTACGTGGCTGAACTGAAATGAACTTCAGAGGAAATACTAAAACTGATCAAAATTTTAAATCCCGTCGCATAAAATCCGTTCAAGCAACGTTCTGTCCCAACTTTTATATGTCATTGGAGGATGTATCTATTTTCCATTCGTCACTGTTGCGTTTAAGTGCCACCCAAACCTCCACCCTAGGTTTTCCGGTTATTGCCCGTCATTTGTAAAAGATATTGACAAAAAAAACGCGTTGTTGTTTTCTACGAGTCTTTGAAATGTCTATTTGTTCTATGCCATTTCTGGGACACTACACTGGCTTTAGTAATGTGTTGTCAAAAGGATATGAATTGAGGGTGCCGATTCCGCGGCAAACTTTCGATTTAGCAGGACTGGAGGCGACCTGGAAAAATGCCGGCGCGTGTTGAGCGGGCGTGCATATTTGTGTCAAGTGCTGGATGGATGGGCGGGGGGGGGGGGGGTGTGATGG